TTCTTTGAGATCCTCTAATGGAAAGCTTTCTGTGAGAGTTAAGTGCTGTAATTATTATTGCTAATATTATTGTACCTGTTATGTGTGTTTTAAAGCTTAGTGTGATATTTACACCTAAATAAGGCTCCATGTCTCCTTCACTGTAAATACACTGATGACTCCAGAGTGCAATTCAGACCACCAAAATTAGACTTTTAATTCTGAAATTATTTTAATCGGAATAGCCTTCTGGAGATATCAGTCTTTTTCCTCTACTTGTAGAGAAAACAGCAAAGTTTAAATCCCATTCCTAAAGCTGGAATTAATCTTGCTGAACTTCAGAGATGTAAAAGTTAGGTGCCTTGGCTAAGGTGGCTGCCTAAGGTCTTTGTGTTTACTAGGGAAGGAGGGGAGATGGTGATGCTCCAGGCTGCAATTTCCAGACTGGGATTACCTTACTCTGAACAATTTGTTTCTGGCTACAGTGGTAGGGAGTTTAGGTGATGATGAGCTTGGAAGAACTTGCCTAAATTTAGGAAACCTAAAGTAATGATTTAGAGTCAGTCTCATGGAATGGTTTGGGTTGGAAGGGACCTTAAAGACTCCCTAGTTCCAACCTCTCTGCCATGGGCAGGGACACCTTCCACTAGACCAGATTGTTCAAAGCCCCATCCAACCTGGCCTTGAACACTGCCAGGGATGGGGAATTCTCAGCTTCCCTGAGCAACCTGTTCCACTGCCTCACCACTCTCAAAGTCAGTTCCTGTCCAATATCTAATCTAACCCTGCCCTCTGTCATTTTTAATCCATTCCCCCTTTTCTTATCCCTCCATGCCCTTGTCCAAAGTCCCTCTCCAGCTCTCTTGTAGCTCCTTTAGGTACTGGAATGTGCTCCGAAGTCTCCCCGGAGCCTTTTCTAGGCTGAACAACCCCAACTCTCTCAGCCTGTCTACATAGATTTAAAGGTCTAAATTCCCCATTCAGGTTCTGCTAGCTAATATATTTTTGTTTCCTGTGCATTGATACACAGTGGTTGCAGTGCAAAAGTATGGTGCTTCTTATAGAATCACTGCTTTTAACCTATAGCTGAGATTTTACTGTTGATTCTCCCATTTTACTTGTGCTGCCATTATAATGAAATAAGGGATAATAGGAGCGTGGATCTTACAACACAGTTTAGACCACTGAATGTTGAAATGTGGCTCTATGAAAAACATGGGACCAGATAGCAAATAAGAAATTAATGACTTTTCTATGTTGCAAGCTTAAAATGAAGGTTGATATGTGTAGACATGGATTTTTGTGCATGTGACTTCTGATTTAGTTGTCCTGTGGAGTTAGATTTAATGTGTAAAATAAGGGAGAATTGGACGCTTGGGAACATTGACCCCAAGCTGACCTCTGCCTCTGAATTCTTTAAAAATAAAAAATGCAGTCTTTCCCTCCCCCTATTAATATTAAATGTAAACAGCTGGATTTTTCTGCTGGTATTTACTAACTTTCATCTTTGCCTTTTTCAAGCATTTATTACTTTAGGAGTGAATTATAGCTTATCACCAGGGGATATGTACATCTTCTAGCTACCTTTGTTGCCTTTTTCCCAACCTGGAAAGTAAACTCGAGATAATTTTAGTAAGGAGGTAATATAAGAGCGGATCTTTATTTGAAGGCCTTCAGTGGCACTTATGGAAAGATGTCTACAAAAGCCCACCCCCTCCAGGGATGAGTACATATTTATAGGCTTTAGGAAATTAGCATAATTGATAAAAGGCACCAATTAGGAGGACAAGTGGTGATGCAATTCCCCCCCGGGTCAGGCCCCTTCTCTGGAGTCTCCTCTTTGGCAGTAGCTGTACTTTGTCCATGAAAATGTATCATGAAGACTTGTTTTCAACCTTGGTTCTCAGGAAGAACCAAGATAGCATTGGGGCCTTGTACCCCCTGGGGCTTGGAACTCTGGAATTTATTTTGTATTTCAGCTTAAGGAAAGGTCATGGAAAAGTACTGGGAAAACTAGTCACTAATACAATAGACTACAGAGCTACAAATATATGTGCAAAGAATATAGAAAACATAGGAAAAAAATGCAAAACCCAAGCCAGCATCACCTTGGCTTCTCAAAAGACACGATTTTTCTTAAACATTGCTTAAATTGCTGATAAGGGAACCTCCTAATTGTGTTACATTGTTTTGATTCTGGCATGGTTTGTTTTGGTCTGTTTTTCTATCTGTTGAAATCCCATTACAGTAAGTAATTGCAAGGAGTGGCTCTATTGCAAAGAAAAGATTATAAAGTTCCATTTTGCTTGTAGTTAATCCTTTTACCTTTTCAACCTGAAAGCATTTTTTCACTTTATTTCCTAGCTGAAGCCAATCTTCTTTATTACTTGGTACTACACATAAACTTTGCATCATGTCACCAGGTGATCACATAGTTGGCTAGGGAAGTATTATTTATTTCCAAATTTAACTGCTCCTGTCGCATCCTTATAGCACTGAAAAGGAAACAGGCTTTTGGGAACAGAGGATTTTTTTTATATGCCTTTTCTGCAACTTTTATCTAGTTGTAGTTCTCTGCAACTTATTGTTTGAACATTTTTAAACACACATAGGCACTTATTGCTTATTTCTTCTTTTATACATGCTGAGAATCCAGGAACTTGCAGCATCGTGGCTATTGTCTTTGTTGGTCGTTTACTTGTGATAGATATGGTTAAAACTGGTGTTGGGCCCTTATGTTTTCAAATCTGATTCTGAAAGACAAGGTTGAGGAAAAAAATAGATCTCTGGTGTGATTGCTTTGTAAATAAGCAGCTTGTTTTTTTCCAGATTGGTAAAGTGGTGGCTCTTACACTGACAGATGTAATGACAGTATTTAAATTATATTGAAATTATTTTTGTCTGTTTGATGTATACTAAATTGAAGTGGAGTTATACGGTGTTCTGTTTGGAAGTGTGGAAGATACAAGAGTGGAGCTACAGATAACAAGTTTATGCTTGTATTTCCTACTGATGAAGACTTTCACACAAGTTATTTTGATGGGTAGGTGATGAGAATATCACTCTGCATGTATATATATTTATAATACATTTTTGCATGATTATACATGTAGGAGTGGTACAATTTTGACTTGAGACTATTGGTACCTTTTGTCCCAATGCAATTTTATTTGTGTAGACATGTCTATCTAAAAATCAAATTTCACTTCTACTTTTGAAGATCTGAATAAGAAGTGAGAGAAACAAAGACCTGAAGGAACAGTACGTAGCTCCTGAAATTTTAGATAACCTTTGAAAAAATGGGCAAATAGTCAATATTGTACTTGGCCCTCGTATCTTCTCCACTCGACTGTTTATTTTTATAGCTCATGTTATATATGTTCACACTGAACTCTAATGATAATACTGAAAGACAACATGCCTCTCTATGATTCAGTCCAGTTGTAGCTTATGCATGTAATTTAATCATCGACTGTCACAAATAATTAACTGAACATCAGCCAGCTTAATTTTTAACTTGGTCTTCCATTATTTTGTAAGCCTTTTAAAAAGACAGATTGCCTTTCAGTTAATTATCATGACTTATTTTCCAGTCATAATCATCAGTTTTTCATGTTGCAAACAGTTTGACCATTAATACATTGTCATTTAACTGCCCATTTATTTTTGTGAGGTCTGTTTTAAGTTTCTAATATAACATCATTTTATGAAATTGTTGATTTGGAGGCAGGTCTGATTTGAAATATTTTGTGAATTTCTTCATACCTTGTTGCCATACTGATCTTTAGTATGACTTAAGTGATATGGTCACTCTTCAACGAAGTGTGTTGCTGACCACAAAATAGGCACTTCTGAAAATAGTGAGTTGAATTATGTTTCAGGCACCAAGTTACAAAAACCCAAACTCAACACAACCAAAACAAAAGAAATCCCACCCTAAAAACCTCAGGAGAAACAGCTTTTAAGATAATTAAATTTGAAACTTTTTTCTATTTAATCCTTGATTTTGTTGATGAAGCCTTGGCCGAAAGAGTTTTGATTGCCTCATTTGGAGAGTGGGAACTCCAGCCACTTTCATCCACTATGAGTCAATAAGCTGTAGCTGGGGTGAACCATTTAAGTTAAACTGCACATCGTTTCAGAATTATTTTTCCATTCTCTCTGCTTCTACATTAATCTTTGTCTTGAATTTGACTTTTTTCTGAGCCTCTTCTGTTTCTAGCATGTTTTCCAATTATAAGTGATTTTCATTCATTACAAAGAATATTGTTGGTCCTAACAAAATAAACCAAAAATAGCTTTTTGTTATTCCTCAAGAACAGATTTCAGAATCTCATAAGCTATTTTCTCTCCCTCTTACCTTATTCACTTTGGTGACCAAAAATGCATATGGTAATCATATTGAATTAAAAGCACATTTATCACTGCATATGATAGTTTTGTTTCTTGTTAGCCTTGATTTTAAAAAAACATCACCAAAAAACATTGCTACTTTGAAAAAATTCCTGCCCTTGACAGGTAAATGTTATGAAAGGAAAGTTGCCTAATGTTAAATTTATTGTCACTGGATCAGTTATATCAAAAAGTTAGTCTTATTCAATCAACCATTATGTAATGTAAGCTCTCACTTGACTTTTGTAAAATTCTCTAGATATTTTGTCTTGCCAAATTTAATGTCCTATGTCTTATTATTTTTTATTTGAAACTGAATCCTTTTAAGATTGTAAATATAATGTCATCAGATATGGAGATGTTGATGCGTTAATGTAAAAGATAATACACAAATAAGTGATTTCATAAATGCGTTTTTCTGTGTATGCAAAGGTTAAAATGTCTCTGTAATCTCAGACTACGTTCATTAACTGAAGTTTAATGATTCATATAATGAATGTATCGCTATAAACTATAAGTTGCACGTAGGAGATGGTATTAATCCTTAAATTATTGTACTTTGTACTTTTAGAGGGGGTTTTCACAGTATGCAGACTTCTAATCTGTGTTGTTTTTCTCTACTTCTGCAGATGGACCTCCAGTTATAGTTCACTATGATATATCAGACACAAACTCAGATCCAGAAGTGGTAAATGTGGACAATCTGTTGGCAGCTGCAGTAGTTCAAGAGCACAATAATTCTTTAGGAAATCAGGACTCAGGATCTACCTGGAGAACCAGAGGGCCGCTAGATGAACTGAGTGCTGATACAGGTTTGGTTAAATTCTCTTCCTCTGACATTTGTTCCAACATCTCAGTAGGTATCTCTCTTTCTTGGTTTCAGTATTTTTATAGTTTATTCAACTTTAAAAGCTCCCTAAGTGGATTTTGCAAAAAAAAAAAACCCCAGTACTGGTGCTTATTAAAAAGGTCTGACATTTATTCCAAAATATAACTCATAAAAATTGACAGAGATTCCTGCAATGTATTTTTGACACTAATTTTCTTATTTATTTTTTTCTCCTTTGTTTCCTTCTAATTACTGTTTGGAACTTAGGTCTGGGGTTTTGGTGTTGTTTTTGGATTTTTTTAATGAAAATGAGCTAAGCTTGTTACTGAATGATTGATTATGATGACCCATGCCACCAGCTGTTAAACTTGTCTGCTGAAGAAGAGGTTGGAGCCTAGGTTCTAAGGCAGAGTTAGCTTATTTCAGCTCAAGCTGGGTGCCTCCAGAGATGGACCCTGAACAAAGAAATTCCTGGACCTTTATACCCTTACAGTCTGTGCACCCGATCTTCACACACCCTGCACGCATCTCTTGGTCCAATGGTGATTTATAGTCTGGGGTCTTCTAACACATCATTGGATTCTTTCCCCATGTCCACATGGGCAGACCATTAACTGCTCTTACCTTCCAGCTTGGGTCAGCCTTGGGGGCTTCCAGGGTCTCAACCCTTATCTGAACATATTCAGCCTTTCTGTTTTCTCCTCTGTTTAGCCATCCATGCTAACAGAGTTCATTTAAAGTTCACTGTTCCTAAGCTTTAAGCAGGGTCCACTCATGCCAAGCTGTAAGCAAGTTGCAATTGAACTTAAACCTATACAATTAATTTCTGATATTTCATATTTAAATGTAAACTTAATTTGATCCCCAACAGGTGACAATCTAAGTATTGGAATTGTCTGTATCTTTTTTCTTTCTCTCTTCATTTCTTTAAAATACAAGCAGTAAATCTTCCCATATACCTTCTGCACCTTAGAAAATCGGACTGACCAGCATCAGATAAACATGAAGGGTAAAAAGGTGCTGGTAAGTGAGCTTAGCATTTTATTGGGTTTGCATAGCCTGGTTTAGGTAGTGAGGGGGCTACAGGGATGACTTATGTGAGAAGCTGCTAGAAGCTTTCTCATTGTTTGGCAGTCAATCCCTGGCATCTCCAAAGATGGATGTGCTGTTGTCAAGACTGGGTCAACTAGAAATGGTGGTAGCACCTCTGTGATAACATGTTTAAGAAGAAAAAAAAAAAGTTATTGTGCAGTGGTAATTGGGGCCAGAGAAGAGCGGAGTGAGAATACGTGAGAGGAGCAACTATGCAGACACCAAGGTCAGAGGAAAAGGAGGGAGAGCAGCTCCTCTAGGCACCGGAGCTGAGACTGCCCTGCAGCCTGTGGCAAAGACCGTGGTGAAGTAGCTGTTACCCTGCAGCCCATGGAGGAGACCCACGCCAGAGCAGGTGGATGCCTGAGAGGAGGTTGGGACCCCATGGGAGGCCCGTGGAGAGAGGAGACCCCTCTGGAGCAGTCTGTTCTTGATGGACTCCACCCTGTGGAAGAGTGATCCATGCTGCAGCAGTTTGAGGAGTACTGTTGTCTGTGGGATGGACTCATTGTTGCAGCCTGAATTGCTGCTAGTAAAGTCCAGGGTAAAGAAACAAAAAGGGCCTTTGCATAATATCCATAGATGTTTAATTCAGCCGCTGCGCCATGAGATGTTCAGGTCCCAGGCACACCCACACCCCGAGGGTCCAGCTCTCCCCCGCAAGGGCCTCCCGGGCTGACCTTGGTCTCCGGGCAGTATCAAGGTGAAGGCCAATCAGGGAAATGGGAGGGAGTGGCTCAGGAACACCTATGTTCAGACATAGGAACAGGGGAAGGAGCCAATGGGGTGTAACTTAGGAGAAGCCCCCTCAGGGCTTCCACAGCTCCCCGTTTTTTTATATTATTAAGAAAGCTTCTCTGAAGGATTAACTGAATCAACACAAAATGACAAAAACAATCAAAAGCGCCCATAAGACAATTTTCAAAATGCAAACAATTCTGAGTCCCCAATGTTCAAAAAGATTTTCTGGAATGTCTTAGAGCTGGCAGGAGGGATGTGGGGTTTTCTTAGCATGGTTTATCAGGAAACTGAGTCAGGAGAAAGTTTCTTCAGCAGGGGCTGTTTCTCTGTCTCCTGTGGTAAAGTGGTTGGCTGTGATAGACTCTGCACAAGGTAGCATAGGTGGTGGTGTGCCTGTTGGAAACTCCAAATAGAAATCATTACTTTAGGAAAAAGATGGTTACTTTAGGGACACTTTCCTTTCTTTCTCTCCTAATCACGCTCCCTCTGGTATTATGAAGGAATTGTGGGGAAAGGGATTAGTGGAGGGAGACCATGGGAGAGGGAAAAGGGTGGCAGGAATTTGTGGGAACATAAAAAAGGGGTAATAGGACAATGGAAAGGAAAAGGACAAAGTGGGAGAGGGGCAGGAAGGCCACAGGTATTGGGGAAGGGTATTAGAAGAAGTGGGACTTACTGGACTGGAAGATTCTTTCATTATTGGCATGGGCCTTTGGATGCAGGGCAGCTTGCCAGTGTTCTGTGCTCTTCTTGCTTTTAGACTATTGCTGGTGCTTGATGGTTGTTAGTTTTGGGTTCTATTTCTTTGGTAGGTGTGTGGAGGTCTTCTATGATGTGGATAATATTTTGCAGGTTTGTAGTCTGGTGCATGTTTACTGCCTTGCACTGGAACTCCACCAGGTCCTGTCCCATTGGCTGCTTGGGGGTCTTTTCTTCCTTGCATTATATTAAATTCCACAATTTCTCCATCTCCTAGACTGTGGAGGTATTTCTTGGGATTATTCTTTTTTATAGCAGTCTGATGAACCAACATATCTTCTTTGTTATCATTCCGGGTTATGAAACCGTATTTGTTTTTTACATTGAACCATTTTACTGTCCCCAAAACGTTCATGGCAAGGAATTTTTTACCTTTGCCAGTGGGTTTGTGTTGGTGTTTCTGGACATGTTGCTGGTGCTGGTGCGCTGCCATGCAAAGTTTGTTCCGCTCCCAGTGCTGGTGGCCGCACTCAGGCTCGGCCCCCTCTCGGAGGTCTGTCTCACCTGGTGCTTGCGGGCACTGCCAGTGCGGGGCTCTCAGAGCAGCGACAGTGGGCAGGGGGCGGCGGTTTTGCTGCCAGGACTGCGGGTCTGAGCCATCTCCCAACGGGGCTGTCCGCCTGCCCCGTGACAGCGGCGCCCCAGGTCCGCCGGTCTCGCCCGCCTGCCCTCGGCCCCTGAGCAGCAGGCTGCTGCGGGGTGGGCTGGACAGCGAGTATCGGCCGGCTCGCCCTGGCCTTGCTGAGCGCCGGCGGGGCGTCTGCGGGTTTTCTGCAGGGGGGAGAGCCGCAGCGGGGCACAGAGTGGCGGCAGCGCTGTGCGAGGGGATACGGATCTTGCCACCGCCGCCACATCTTTCGGTGCTATAGCAACTGAGGTAAACACGTCCCTAGGAGGAGGCGTGGGGACCAGACGGCGGAACGGGAGACCCTGCGGCCCCTGCCATGCGGTCTCCACCATCTTGGGCAGCAGGAGTACAGATAGGAGAACCTGGGAGAGTCTTTCCTTGTGACAAGGGAGGGGGTGCAGGGGCACGAAGAGGGGAACATGGAGGAGGGGTTTTCAGCTGATGTTCATCCTCAAGATTCAGAATGCATTTCATCATCATACTAAATAAAGGATGGAATTCTGTGTTAGTTTTTAACCTTTCCCAAAGTACTTCCAATAATTCATCAGTTAGGACTAAGTTCCGTGAAATATAAGGAAAATGCTTAAATAACCACTGTACAAAATACTTCAACTCCTCCTCTGAAAAGCAAAAATTTTCTTGAAGAAAAGACTTTTTAAGGTAAACTTCTTGTTGTGTGTGGGTGAGTGTTGTCTCCATCTTAGCCCAGTCTCTTTCCAACACCTGAGAGTACCAGGAGGAAGGAACCAAAATTTCAAACTCACCACACTGGAGTAAGAAAATTCTCAGGGTGGTCTAGTGCACATGTTTTCCAAGAGAAGAGGTCTCAGACTAATCCAGAGGCCCCACGTTGGGCGCAATTGTTGCAGCCTGAATTGCTGCTAGTAAAGTCCAGGGTAAAGAAACAAAAAGGGCCTTTGCATAATATCCATAGATGTTTAGTTCAGCCGTGCCATGAGATGTTCAGGTCCCAGGCACACCCACACCCCGAGGGTCCAGCTCTCCCCCCCCCCAGGGGCCTCCCGGGCTGACCTTGGTCTCCGGGCAGTATCAAGGTGAAGGCCAATCAGGGAAATGGGAGGGAGTGGCTCAGGAACACCCATGGTCAGACACAGGAACAGGGGAAGGAGCCAATGTGGTGTAACTTAGGAGATGCGCCTTCAGGGCTTCCACACTCATTGCAGCAGTTCACAAAGAGCTGTTGCTCGTGAGATGGAGCCATGTCAGAGAAGTTCGCAGAAAGCTGTCTCCTGTGGGAAGGACCCTACAGTGGAGCAGGGAAACAACTCCTCTCCCTGAGCAGCGGGAGAAGCCACGAGCGATGAAATGACCATAATCCCCATTCCCTGTCTCCCTGCATCACTGGGGTAGGAGGTAGAGCCAGGAAGGAGGGAGGGGTGATGTCACTGTTGAGCAAGAAATGACACAGATTCACAAGAAGGCTGGTTGGCACAACAGCTTTAATACGAAAAACTCTCTTCTTTTATAGACAGCTTTGACACATTCTACTTGATTGGCTAATTAACAAAAGCATCTTTCTCACAATCATTGAGAAGACCAGAAAAACAGAGTAGGAAAACACTACCTGCAGGTTGTTTATACTAAGTTATCATTGTTTCTCTACAACTCCCTAAAAAGTCTCACAAGTCCACTGTGAGAAAACAAATTTAGTTTTCTCACTCTCTGACCAGGCTGTCACATCCACAGGGTGAGGGGAAGGTGTTTTTAAGGTTTTATTTTACTTCTCATTATCCTGCTCTGAT